CACACAACTGTGTACCAACCTCATGTAGGGCTGCAAATAAATCGGATCATATCTGATTTGAGTCTAAACCTGATCTAATAAGAGCTGAATTCAAATATCTTACCTTGATCCTAACAATTCAGATCGAAATGAAAAAGTTGATCCATTTAGTTAATAAATCGAATTCGGATATACCTCGATCCAATCAGCCATAACTTGATTTGATATGTTAGTTATGAAATATTATATTTTATATATTAGATATGTATATTCTATATATTATTTATGTAATTATATAATACATTATTTATAATATTATTTATAACATTATATATAATATTATTTATATTATATCATAATTTTTCATTACAGTTTTAATTGAATCGGATTTGAATAGGATATTCCTTAAGTTATTCGAATTCGAGTCATACTCTTAAAAATCCAACAAATTCTTATTGGATTTAAATCAGGCAGATTTCTTATTAGTTTGGATCGGATATATCGTTTACCAAATCTGATCCAATATGTTTGTAGCCCTAACCTCATGTGACACTCTTTGTAATAAAGCATGTGGCATAACTAACAAATCATGTTAAAGAGATATTTCATAAAAAATGGGTGCAAGTGGGGTGGATTGGGTTGGGATTAAGATCAACCTAGGCCCAACCATAGGAATTGGGCCTAAGGTTTGAGCTAGGGGTCATGCATATATGTATTTATATATGCATGCATGTATGTATATAGTCAGGCTGGGCTCAAGCTACCTAAGGGTTAAGCTTGGGCCCAACCCAAAAATTAAAAAAGAAATTCAAAAAATTTGGGTTTAGGCCCAACCAAAGGACCAAAAGTCCAAGTCCAAGCTATATAAAATTGTGGATTGGGTTAGTTTGAGCTCAAGTTGGGGCTAACCAAATTGCACCCCTAATAGCAAATACCTTTGTCATGATTCTTAGGAAAACACAATCAAGTTAAAAACATTGATCTCAAAAAGACAAGTCCAGAAACTTCCAAAAGCAACTATAAATACCCACTCACATCCCCAAAACAAATCTATCACTCATAAAATCACCAATTTCTAGATCCAAACACCAAGAAAGGGCGAATATCAATCTCCAAACCCTAACTGAGGATACTCTTCATCCTATTCATTTTTCAGAAGATTCTCCACTAGACCACTACTATTAAGGGAGCTTTAATTTTCTCCCTCACATGCATTTAACATTTCCCATCATCTAATCCCTCACTAACCTCCAAACCTGAAGAGCAAAGAGGATTTCCAACCCCTATTAGCCTTTCTCCCAACTTTTAGAGTTATAGACCATCTCAACTAACACCATTGCCTTACAAGAATAATTAATAGTTATTAATTATATTAATTATATAATAATTATTTTTTGTAATGAATTTTTAAACTATTTTAATATTTAACAATTACTTAAATTAATTAAGTAATAATTAATGATTAAAATTATCATTTAGTTATTATAAAGTAATTACTTTAATTATAAAATGACTTTTATATATTAAAATTAGTATAATTTAAATTATTAAAGTCAAGAAAATAATTAAATAATAATAAATTAATAATATAAAATAATTAAAACATTAAATTTTATATAAATAAAAAATTTATGAAATAATTAAAAAAATAATAAAAAGATTAAATAATAGTTTTTTCTTATTTTATCATATTATTAAGATTTTTATTATATTTGAATAGTAATTTTAACTAACCATATCTAAAATTATTATTATTATTATTGCGAACATGTACTTCACACGAGTCATCCAAAACAAGTAGGAGTAACAAATGAGTAGGTTGGGTGTGGGTTCAATACCAACCCACCCATTAATGACCCACACCCATTTGCTACCTATACTAATTGCATGCTAATGGGCAGCAACCCTAGCTAGTCATGTTGACCCACTTGAATATTAAATTATGTAAACCAATATTTATTGAAAAAGGAAAAAACTTCGGAATTCTCTTATGTTGTTACATCTCATCCTTTAATTGATTCAATTCAAATATAAAAATTACTTTATTTTAGATAAAAGAGATTAAGAAGAGAGAAGCCACATAACCAAGGGAAGAGAGAGGGGGGGAGGGAGGGAGACAAGGTAATGGAGAGGAAAGAAAACATAAAAATTGGACATCAAGTTAGAGAGAGAAAGGACATGAAAGCGAAAGAATCCACGGCAAGAGAATTTATAAGAGAGAGAGTAGAGACTAGAGAAAGGAAAGAGAATCATGAAAATTAGACTTCATTAGGAAAAAAGTTAGAGAGAAAATACTTAAAAGATAGAGAGAGAAACCATATAACCAAGAGATAGAGAGTGAAGAAAGGAAAGAAAAACATAAAAAATAGAAGTTAGAGAATGGTGATAAAGGAGAAGGAACAACATAACCAAGAGGAGAGAATAGACAGGGAGAGAAACATGAAAACTGGACTTCATTAAGAAAAAAAAAAAAAGTTAGAAAGAAAGCACATAAAAAAAGGACAAACCACATAACCAATAGGAGAGAAAATGTAAAGGGGAGAGGACAAAAATATGAAGATCGGGTTTAATTAGGAAAAAGTTAGAGATAGAAAGAACATAAAAGATAGAAAAATCACAGTAACCAAGAGAAAAAAGAACCTAAATGAGAAAGAGTAGAGAGAGGAAATAGAAATACAAAAAATGGACTTCATAATAAGAAAAAACTTGGAGAGAGAAAAATGATAAAAAGAAGCCACATAACCAAGGTGAGAGAGAATTTAAAAGAGATACTGAATAGAGGAGAAAGAAATATAAAAATTAGACTTTACTAAAAATAGTTAGAGAGAAAGGATTTAAAAGAGAAAGAAGCAAGTAACTTAGAAGAAAGAATCTAAAAGACAAAGTAGAGAGAGAACGGAGAAGAAAGATAAAAAAATGTGAGAGAGAAATATAAGAGTTAGAATTTTATTAAAAAAAAAGTAGAGATAAAAAGTACATAAAAGAGAGAAGCCGCATAACCCAGTATGGCAGGAATTTACATAGCCAAAAAAAAGGCAAAGAAAGAATCTAAAGGATAGAGAGTAGAGAGAGGAGAAACATAAAGTTGAACTTTATTCAGAAAAACTAGATAAAAGAATAAAAGAGAGAGAAACCATATAACCAAAAGGAAAGAGAAGTTAAAAGAGAGAAACAAGATAAAGAAGAGAAAGAAATATGAAAATTAGACTTCTCTATGAAAAAGTCAAAGGATGAAGGAATATAATATAAAAATAAAACCCACATGACCAAAAAGAAAGAAATAAGACAAGAGAAAAGAGTGAAAACTATCAAAATTAGGCTTCATATAAAAAGTTAAAGAGAAAATGAGTATTAACGAGAGAGAGAGAGAGAGAGAGAGAGGCGACATAACCAATGAGGTCCAATTTTTATGTTTATTTCTCATCTTTTTCTCTCTCTCTTAGATTTTCTCTCATTTTGGATATGTAATTTTTTTATATTTATTCTCTCATTGACATTTTTCCAAAGAAGTTTAATATTTGCTTCTCTCTCTCTCCCCCCTTTCCTTGATCTTGTTTCTCTATTCTCTACTACTTTTTTTTTTATCTCCCACATTGGTTATATGGTTTTTCTCCCCTTTATTACTTTTCTTTCTCTAACTTTTTTAATAAAGTCCAATTTTAATAATTTTCTCTTCTACCTATCTTATTTTGCATCTCTTTTTCTATTTGTCTCTTCCCCTTCAAATTCTCTCACCTTTTTCCTTAGCCTGCGTTTGTTTTTGGTGTAAATGTGAATCGATGCAAAAATCCACTGAGTTCATATTTACTCACATTTGTTTTTCAGTGTAAATACAGACCGGTGTAAAACTCCACACATGGTCTATATTTTCATGTGTTTGTTTTCATTGTAAACCTTATCATTGGTTGACTTTTCATCAATAATCAATGAAAATAATATACTTAATTTTGTCGATGTGCTTTTACATCGATTATCATAAAATAAAAAGTTCCAATGGTTCAATAAAATTTTAAACCCATTGGCCATTGGTGTTGAACTCCATCGATGGAGTTTACATAGAAAACAAATACAACCTTAGTATGGGTTTTTCGTTATTTCTTTACAATGAATGAATGGGCAATTTACGAATTATTTTTGTGATGCATTAACCAAATCATTAAAGATTTTTTTTTTCTTTTTTAAGGGATATTATCTAAAACTCACCATCACTTTTTTACATTTCTCTTAAACTCACCATGACTTTTCAAAACATCTATAGAGCCCCCAGTCATTGAGCTTTATTATCTAACTTCACCTTCCGTTATGATTTATGTTTAGATGACTATTACTGACCATTAATAAGAATTGTCCATGTAAGTACTTAAGTATTTTACATGACCAAACTACCTTCTAAATGGTCAATCAAGCTTATTAAATATTTTTATGTTAAAAATTACCTAGACCTAGGCTTGCAAATTTTAGAGTCGAGCTTGGGCCTAATACTTCAAACCCCAACCTAGGCTTAACATATTTAATAAAGTTAACTGCCAAATTTTAGAGTCGAGCTTGGGCCTAATACTTCAAACCCCAACCTAAGCTTAACATATTTAATAAAGTTAACTGGACATTTTAAGGGTAATTTTATCATAAAAATTTTTAATAAGGTTGATTAACCATTTTAAGGGTAGTTTAGTAAAGTAAATTACTTAAATTCTTATATAGACAACTTTTATTAATGATCACTAATGCTCATTTAAAGGAAACCTTAAAAGAAGATGAATTTTAGACAATAAAACCAAATGACTAGGGTCTGTTGATATTTTGAAAAATCATGATTAATTTTAGACTGAGTCTGAAAAGAGTATAAATACAAATATATACATTAAAAATAGATACAAAATAATATAAAATACCAGGTTTTACATATTTGTATTTGTACTCCTTCCAAACCAAACCAATGTAAAAAAATCATGGTAAATTTTTGATAATATCCCTATTTTTAATGGATGTCAGGTACTGTTTCGGTGGTCATTTGGATCATTTTGCTTGCTCGGACAAGCAAAGGCGGTGGTAATGTAGCACTTCAAACTGACGTTGAATTTTCTACCCACCAGAACTTTGCCCACGCCTACCCACAATACATTATTCCGTTAATTGAGAACATCTTCCCCTGTATAATACAATGTAGAGGATAAATGTTCTCGATGTGTGGCTGCGATAAATGTGGGCAGGAGATCCGGACTCCAAATCACCCTGAAAGTCTTCTCTCTCTCCTCCTGGTTTTTCCTGCAGAGCTAGCTAGGGTTTCTTGTCGCTGTGGAAATCCTCGTCCGGTCACAGAAGAAGTTCGTTTAGTAATGCTGTACGAGCTTCTTTGAATCAACAAACAGGTCTGTTTGAAGGGAATTTACGTGACATGGCCTTTCAGGGGAAGAAACTGATTAATGATCCAAATGGTCTGCATTTGTTCTTTAATCGTTTGATACTTTGATTACGTTTACTGAATTTTCAAATTATCTGGTTCTCTGATTTTCTTGCTTCTTACTTTCCAATTATGTATTGGAAATTTTCTTTGAGCCGAATGCATTCTTGACCCGATTTCACTACTTATGTATGCTGTGTCTCATAACTTGATTGTTAATCTATGTTGTTTGTCGAAGAATTTATGATGTTCTGTCATTGATGGATCCTTCTTTTATTTTTTATTTTTTCCTTTCTTACTCTGCAATTCGCAGATGTGGTCACTGAGTTCATTGAAGGCCTAGTGGAAACTTATCCCGGTTTGCAGTACTTGGATGGTTTCCCGCAGGTGATGCAATGTTCACAATTTTCGTTTAATCATTCTTGTACTTTGACTGTAATGATCAGATACCCGATCTCTTTATGTATGATTATTCTGACTATGTGTTTCTCCTTTCCTGGTTGTGACACTACAGGTTAAGGTTGTGTTGCGTGCTGATGTTTCAGGTTCTAAATATGACAAAGTTGCAGTTATTTCAGGTCTGAAACAATGCGAAATATATTATCTGTAAAGTCTTTAAATTTTAATCCCAAAGATACCTACAGAAACATATTTGTGCCTTTAGTTTTATGCATGTATGTACCCGTGGCAACCGTTAGGTAAGCAGGTTGTTAGGATGAAAGGAAAGCATATAGAAGATTGTGGTAATCAGAGAGGACTAAATTTGCATTAGTATTGTTTAAAATTAACCTAATAGTATAGGTATGCCATGCAAATGCTAGAGACAAAAGCAACAATAAAGTAGAATGTTGCATTTGCATACTGATTTTTGATTTCCAGCACAAATAAAAGAGATTCATAAACTTGAACATGTTGGATGGTTTAAGTCCTTCAATCAGGGTCAGGTTGATTTTTGGTCAAGGAGATTTCACAAAAGAATAAGCAATTAATCCTGAATACTAAATGCTATTCCATTTATCAAAAAAAAAAAATCCTAAATGCTATACTTTTCTTGCTGAAGCTTGAGCATTTCATTGATAATTTTCTTTTCACTAGGTATCTGATGAAACACACATTCGTAATGCCATAAACTATTGATTTCAAGATTTGATCATGTGGAACAGATACCATATTAAGCATTCATCAAAAAAAAAAAAAAACAGATACCATATTAAGCATACATTTTTCATCAGATGTATGGCACACTAACTCTGAGATACAATTAAAAAAATGATTCCTGATTTGATGCTTGATAACCTGTTAAGGTACCTATCATGTATTCTTCAACATATGTCCTCACTTGGCAAAAAATCTAGGAGATAGTTGATAGCTGTGATACCTGGATACCAGTACAATGGTGCTGTATCTTATCAGATACTTCAACTTTTAGTGTATACTAAGTATGTGACACCTTGTCCAGCTATGTCCTTGTGATACCAAGTAACATAAGTTGATTGGGCATCATAGCCTCCAAATTCTAAGTTATCATCATCCAAGCCTTATCCCAACCATATGGGGCTGGCTACGTGAATCCTATTTTGCATTCTGTTCTATTTAATGCCATATCCATTATTAAATTATTGGTGCTTAAATCATTTCTTACTGCTTCTACCCATGTTCTGTTTTGGTCTGCTCCTAGCCCTTCTAGCCCCCTTCATCTTGCAACAAATCACTTCTTCTGGGTTCTGTTGATGGTCTTCCATGCACATGACCAGATTATCTTAGTCTACTTTCTCTCATTTTATCACCTCTTGGAGCTACTGCTAGGTTCCTACGATTGACTTCATTTCCAATCTTATCCATTCTAGTTTTTGCACTCATCCATCTCAACAAACAAATTTCTGGCTCACTCATTTTTTGGACACGTTTTTGACTGCATGACATTCTTCTCCATACATAGCTGGCCTTACAATCTTTTGATAGAATTTGCCTTTTTATCTAAGTGGTATTCATCTATCACTTTAAAACTCTGGATGCAGTCTCCATTTTGCCCATCCTGCTCCAATTCTAAGTAAAATATACAGAAAAAGTAGCAGGGCAGAACTGTGCTATGTAAAGTGAAAAGCAAGACATAATTGGATGAATGATAAGGTATTACTTATTTTGTATGATGTGATAAAAGAATGTTAGTCGCATTAATGATTGGATGAATGCTCTGTTAGTTGCATTAATTCTTTTAGACTACTACCTCACAGTGAAATTGTGGTAGTGAGGCTTTATTACTAGATAGAGGTTTGAGACACTGAGAGTCATGTAGTAACAATAAGACAAGAAGCAAATTCTCATGAAGAAGTTGAAGGCTTTAAATCTTTCCGAAGTGTGGTCAACATGCCCAGCTACTGGTAGCTTGCTTTGTGGTGATACTATAAGCACCCTAGATACAAGGAAATAGGGAGAAAAATATTTTGAATTGGCAGAACATGGCATGTTTCATCCTGGATCTAGAAAATAAGGAAAACGAATAATTTTTTATTTTTATTTTTTGACTTGGCAAGGACTTTCTTTCTGAGTAGGAGAATCTGGTTTGCCATTTTGCAGAAAACTTCTCTTTTGGTTATGAAAGATAGATGCTGCATGATGGCTGTTGCCCACTACTTCTGGAGCACAAATGAAACATGCATGCTAACTACTGTAGTGAACAAATTGCATAAGCAGGCAACCCAGGGCATGTTTCATCCTGCCTGATGGCTGACCAGGAATTATACCCAGTCAGGCTTGCATAAGCAGTATGAACAGATCAAGAACAAATTGTGATTGAATCCTCAATGCCTCTGAACTTATACTTCACTTGCTGTGATCCTTGTCACTGTTATCAATTTCTTTTTTTTATTGCTAAGTAAACTAACTTTCATTAAACAGAAGAGTCCACAACAAGAACATCAGATAACCACAGGCGGTTCCCACCAAATAACCTCCCATTCTTTCCTTTCATATACTGGGTTACTAGATGAGCTGCTCTGTTTGAATTCCTACTTATATGCTTAACATTCACTGTTTCAAAATAACTACCTAAGTTCAGCATATTGTCCAAAATATAATCACAGTCCCAAGAAACAGTTTAAATATTATATTCAAGGCTCTAATAGCTAAAAGAGAGTTGAATTCTACTATTATCTTGTTCCATCCATTGCTTTTAGCTAACTTAACCGCAAAAAAGAATTGCCAGAGGTTCCAATTGCAGCACACTAGAAGTCTAGAATAGCAATCAACTGTTTCACCTTCAGCACCAAAAAAGAAACCTTCGTTACAGCCAATGGTATCTGATCTATCATTTTTGACACCACAATCACAGTTTAGTTTAACAAAACCGTCAGAGGAGGAGATCACATCACGCTCTCTTTTTGAGTACAATTTTTCCACAAAATATCTTGAAAAAGTAGTCCATTAACAGTACAATTTTTCCATTGGAAATTGTTTTATTTCTAGATAACCAGACATAATAACACATTATGTCAATCCAAGATAAAATTAACTTTTTATCCAATTTATTATCAACCAAGTTTAAAATATTCCACAAAATATGTACTATACAACTATTTTCTTGGATTCCATCAACTCTAATACTCAAAGGTCGCATAAACAAAACAGATCTTATTGAAGGACAACTAATAAGTAAGTGAGGAATTGATTTGTCCCTATAGTCACAAAAAAAAAAAACACAAGATTTATCCTTAATCATCCCCTATCTTGGGCTGGCAAGCGTGAGAACACGGGTTCGAGTCTGAAAGCAGCCACTTTGTGCAAAAAAAATGCCAAAAGTTAGGCCTGCATCTAGTCTACCCCTTACCCCAGATAGCTGGTACCAACATTGGGTAATGGACTTTTTTGGCCCTGGTCAATGCAGTGCCACATTGAAGAAGCCAGGATCCTGACCTTTGACAGTGAACACCTAATTTATTTTTGCTGTATACAACATAAATGAGTTGTTCACTGTCAAAGAAAAGAGCTTCTACTGTAATGTTCAGGCTCCAGTTTCTCAGAAATTTGCGGAAGCAACCAGATTGAAATATCTAAGTTTGACCTTGTGTTTTAATAGTTTGCGTTTCTCATAGATCTAAAGCATCACTTTAACTTATAATTTGAAATGCTCAGCTCATAACAAAACCATAATAACTGATTAAGGGAAATCCAGACTGAACATTCTAGTTTTATGTTTTTAACATGTTCTCCTCTTTAATGGTTATACAAATTTATGCGTTTTATCTTATTCTTTATAGGAACTGTAGTAGTACAATTTTTTTTCTAATCAAACTTTAGTTTAGGTTGTTCATTAGTTTTTTCTAATCATTTTGTTTTTATTTAGTTGCTTCCTTTCAGGTGCTTTGTCATTCATTAACTTTTACTAGTTGTTTTTAGCTAATCCTGTGTTTGAAGGTGGTCTGCATGCTTTTCATATCATCTAAAAGTCCATATGGATTTGAACTGGTTTGTTTAGGTTTTTTATTGTGTAGCTCTCAGGCATTGGGTACATAAATTAATATGCTTTCTTGACACAGGGGGTGGAAGTGGGCATGAACCTGCTCATGCTGGATTTGTGGGGGAAGGGATGCTGACAGCAGCTATCTGTGGAGATGTTTTTGCCTCTCCTCCTGTTGATTCCATCCTATCTGTACAGTATCTTGCTATTTTAATTATTAATGAGTGAGACAAACACAATACATCATTATTTGTTTAAGTTAATCTTCATTTAGAAACCTATAAACCCATATTGTTATTTCAGGGTATCAGAGCTGTGACAGGTCCTATGGGATGTCTTCTGATTGTCAAGGTATTTTGCCTTTTAAGTTGATAAAGTGTAGTACTTACTTTTCAGTTGAATAAGAATATATTACATAATACATTCTAACAGCACTTATTCTTTCCATTTCTGTGACTGCATATGGAAAAAAATAACATTAGTGATTTTCATTTTAAAAGGATACAGTAAATTCGAATTCTTATGAATTTATTACATTAAGCTTTACAGTTGATCATGCTTGATATATGATTTTTTAATTTGGGCATGGCAGAACTATACAGGTGATCGGTTAAATTTTGGTTTGGCTGCTGAACAAGCAAAGTCTGAAGGTTACAAAATAGAGGTATGCATTGTTATAGAATATTATTGAGATAATTTATTTTACATTGTTTTCAAGATACTAAAAGAAAGGATGATCTTTGCACCTTGCAGATGGTTATTGTTGGAGATGACTGTGCTCTTCCACCATCTCAAGGCATAGCTGGGCGAAGAGGTTTGGCTGGGACTATTCTTGTCCACAAGGTTCTCTCTCTCCCTCATTAATCCACAAAGACATCCATGAAGGGTTAGAAAAGGATGGATCTTTTTTATTTATTGTTGCAAGGAAAGGATTTATAGTAATAATTGAAATGCCTTTATCCTAGATTCTTTTTTTTTTCTAAATATTCCCATATTTTGTTGATTTTAATTACTGGAGTTACCTGTCCTAGTATCTTCATATTGAATACTAGAAGAAAAAGCCGCAGACCTCAAAATCTTTAGTTGAGAAAAGAATAGATAAATTTTTGAACAAGAAAATTCATTGATTATGGTTTTTTACTTTTTTGTGCCAGTGCTTCTTCAAGCTTCCCAAAATCCTCTGTCCTGTACAGCCTCTAGCTGAATTATATTTATGTGCTGCCTGTTACAGTTTTCCTGGGGAACTTCTACTTGTTTCTTCTCTGTTTATTGCTACTGCTTAACATTTTTTACATCTGGAAACAAATATGATACTGTAAAAGTAAAAATTTGAAGTGATTTTACAGCTCCCAATTTAATTGTTTTCTTTATTTCTCTATTAATGTATTTTCTCAGTTATTGCTAGAAAATGACCTCTATGTTCTTCCATTTCTTAAAGTATATAGAAGCATTGTATCTGCTTTATGTAGCAGCAAATGTACAAATACTAGAATAGTTCTATTAGTAATCTTCTTATGCTTCTGCCTCAAATTTCTCGGTAATTTTTTTTTTTAATTTCAAATAACAGGTTGCTGGGGCTGCTGCTGCTGCTGGGCTTTCTCTTTCTGATGTTGCAGCAGAAGCAAAGCATGCATCTGAAATGGTTGGAACCATGGGTGTTGCATTGTCTGTCTGCACGCTGCCAGGTCAGGTCACATCAGATCGTTTTGGCCCAGGAAAAATGGAGCTTGGTCTTGGTATAGTAAGTTTCTCAATAAACTCCCTTATATTTACTTTCCTATGTTAAGAAGGTACTTTACTCTGTACTTTCTTGGTTAATTAATCTAAATTAAGGTCCAAAGTAGTGCTCGCTTTGTGCGATAAGGTGATATTATTTATGTTGTCTTTCTGGTACTAGCTGGTCACTCCATTTCTGCAAATGGGCTAAATCTTGTTTTGCATAGACAGAGACATGGAGATCTGTCAGCAAGGCAAAAGTCTAGACTAAAGAACATGTCTACAGAAAGTAAATACCGTTAAAATAGTCCCATATTATTTTGGCTTCTAACATGTTATACATGTATAAAAAAAGTCTAGGAGTTTATCTTGGCTACTTAAACTCACCTTTATAGGAAAATGGCATTTGCCGTGCATATTATCTGTTTACTTGTGTGAAATCAACAGGGATAAAGAGGAAAAATGTTATGTAGAGGTGTCCCTCAAGAATCTATGGAGTATCAGAAACTACACATTTCTGACACACACTTCAGCCATTTAGGAGAGTCCATGCAACACTGGTTAGGGATCAAGCATTCATATCACTTACCACGTTTTTTAATTTTTATTTCTAGTTTTTCTACATGGTCAAATCTGTTTCTGTTTCAGCATGGAGAGCCTGGTGCAGAAGTGACAGACCTTCAACCTGTTGATGTGGTGGTTTCTCATGTTTTGAAGCAAATTTTGTCTACGGTATGCCTCAGTGGAAAATTGATAATTATGCTACTTCTTGCAATGGAAGAATGTCAATTGAAGCTTGTCACTTACAGAGCCTTTCTTGGCCTCCATATTAAGATGATACAATCTCATTAACTGTCATTTCTTCAAAATCTCAGCATGTCAACTTCCTTACAGTTGCATTGTTTAATTTACTCCATTTTGAATTTTCATATCTTCTTGAGTCATGACTTGGAACAGGGTCAAGGGTACAAATTGATGTTAGACCTGCAGAGTATATTATGGACCAAAAATGTTTTTTTTTTTTTTTTAACATTTCGATTTGTGCATATATGACAAATTTTTAAGGTCCATAAAATCATGTTATTTGTTAATTTTATTCCTTTTTATGTTTTGACTTTTACACTGTTATCAAAGTTTATCCATCCTCTACTCATTGCAGGAAACTCACTATGTTCCAATCACACGAGGGAGTAGAGTCGTTCTTATGGTTAATGGGTGAGCCCTATGTTTCTATTCTGTGATCTAGATCATGTTCAGTGGATTAAGTTTTCTTAGCATATAACAGAGAAAGAGAAGAAAGTGTGAGGCAGAACAATATTTCCCCCTTTTTAAGGAAATTTTCAATATTAATGCTGGTAGTATTTTTTGATGGATTTAAATACTGATATTATTAATTTTCTTCTTTCTTCATTTTAGAAAAAAAGTGTAGAAAAGAAGTCTGAGCCTGAAGAGTGTTGAATATTTTCCCTCCTTTGAAGGACATTTTCAATTTTAATACTGCAAAGGAATGCTGATTAGATGCGAGTAAACAAGTATCGTGCAAACTTTTTAATTGACATTATATTGCTTTATGTATGAAAGAACTTTGTCCTTCACAAGGTTAAGAAAGCAATTTGATCTTGTAGGAAACTTTGGTCTTAAATTTCATAATGACCTTTTTCTTGCCCAAAGTCTTTTTTAATGAAAATATTAGAAAAACTATGAAATTTTCCAAACTGTGAGAAATATAATAGTAATGTGATGGCATCAAAGCTGGGCCCGGTTGTGGTGGAAAATGGACAGTCATTCCCATATCCTTTTGGATGAAGGTGGGTAAATATGGATATGGCACTAAACAGAACAAAATGGTGAAATGAGATTCATGTAGCCAACAATATAGTTGGAATAAGGCTTAGATGATGATGATGATGGCTCATTCATAACCAATAACACTTTTACCATAAAAAAACCACCATTCAAATTTAATGAGTAAGACTACTGATCGTCTATGTAGAACATGGTTTCTAATAATCATAATTGATATATTTTAGAATGTACCAATAAACCAAAAAGGCTTTCTGTTTACCCCCACGTGTATGTATCCTTGTAAGACTAGTGCTGAGATTGTTATCTACCTTTACTTCACTTGTCCCTAAGCCAATGATATTCTTTACCAAATAATGATTTTTCAGATACAAATATGACAAACATGTTACTAATAAAATATGCATGGTAAATCATCTATATATATTGATAATTAACAACAGTAACTTTCATTAAAGAGATAATAAAATAAGAAATACAAGAGAAGGTCTCAAAGCAAAAGCATAACAACAGCTTTGGCCACAACAGTCCAAAAGAACAGCGAAAAAATAAAGAAAAAAAACAGAGAAGATAGGGAGTGGCTGGAAAAGAAATTTGAGTTGGAAGAAATAAAAGAGGCGGTTTTCTCAATGGGTAGATCAAAGGCACCGGGCCCAAATGGTTTTACGATGGATTTTTACTAGGATTGTTGGGAGATACTAAAGGAGGACATAATGTTGGTATTCAATGAATTCCATACCAGAGGAGTAATTGTAGAGATAGTTGATAAGCTGTTAGTGTTTGTGGGGTTCCAACCCCACATTTTATACATGCTTTTATTTTTTTATTTAGAATAATTGGGCTGGCTGGGCCTTGTTTGTCTTTCTTTTATTTGTTTTAAGTAAGGGCATTATGGTAATTGGTCATTGTAATAGATTACAATATAAATACATCTTAGTGGGCGGCTATATACAATATTCTGCCGAACCCTTTCTTTCATACTCCTCTTCCTCTCTCCCTTTTCTCTTCTATTCGTGACCCTTCTTTCTCTTTCTTTTCTACCTTTTTAAATCAGAAAACAACTATTTGCTGGTTTAATTTATTCAAGTTGGTATCAGAGCAAAAAGTAGAGCAGTTTAGGGCTCTCATGTGAGCCTAATCCAGTCGGCCGCATGAGAAGTTATTGAATCTGAAGTATTGCATCTTCGCCTGATTATTAGAGGATCAATGGAGATTCGAATTGTCCCAAGGGGTTACACGACCTTTGGAGAGTGCCCAGTGACCAGGAAGAGTCAGAGAAGTCAGGTAAGTCAAAGATTAAGGCTTAATCTGAAGGTTAAAGGTGGCGATCAAATTCTTTCTGAGAAAGAACTCATCTTTATTGAGATCAACCTTAAAGGGAACAGTTTTTAACCTTCTGGAAGCAGTGGTTAATAGAATTCTATCTTCTTTGCCATTTCTTTAGGGTTTCTTGACAGAGATCGACCTTCAAAGGAGTAATTTTGACAGTTTTTTGACAGTTCTGATTTAAGTCAATTATTGCTGTTAGTTTTCTGACGGAGATTGACCTTAATTCAGCAGTTTTCTGATATATCTGCTATTTTCTCTGGGTTTTTTTGTGAAATCCCACGGTCAACTATTGCTCCCATTTTTTCTGTGACTGTGACTGGTTCTTGAGCAGCTACAGTTATCTGATTTTTTTATTCCTGGGTGTTCTTGTCGACTGAGGAGTGTTTCTTGGGAGTTACCAATAATCTGAAATTGATTTCTGGGTAATTCTTCCTGACTGTGAAGATTCTCAGCTGTGCTTTCTGATTCAGCAGAGACTTTTTTTTTTTTTGTCAAAGTAGTGGCTGTTAACATCCTCTTTAAAATGGAGAAAGTTGGAAGTGAATTCAAGACTCCAGGGGAAGGTTTTTTAGGGGCTGGAAGTATGATTGAAAGTTCTTTTCAAATTACAACTGTTAGGTTCGATGGAACAAATTACTTGGAGTGGGCACAATCAGCCATGATGGCTATTGAGGGTAGAGGTAAATTAGGCTATGTAACGGGAGAATATAAAGAAACCAACAAACGAAGACACATCACTTGCCAAATGGGTTCAAGAGAACTATTTGGTGATGACATGGCTGTGTAATTCAATGCAGCCTTACACCAAAATTATTTATGGGCCAAAACAGCTAAGGAAATCTGGGATAATATGAAAAAGACTTACTCCCAACCTCTTAATGTTGCTAGGGCTTATGAGCTGAAGTGTGAAGTGAAAAATCTCAAGCAGGGGGAGAAGCCAGTCTCTGTTTACTTTGCTACTTTGAAATCTTTGTGGCATGAAATTGACCATTTGGAAACCATTGAATGGGAGAGTCAGAGAGATGCGACTACCTATAGCAAGTTGGTTGAAACAAACAGAGTTTTTGAATTCCTTGTAGGTTTGAATTCAGAATTTGACATAGTAAGACTACAACTTCTTACCAGGGATAGTGTGACCTTGTCTCAGGCTTATTCACTAGTGCRYAGTGAAGAGAGTAGAAGAAAAGTGATGTTACAAGTTCAACCCATGGAATCAGCCCTAGCAGCAACAAAACAGAAATTTGGGAAAGATCAAGAAAAGGAAATAAAGAAGGAAGATAAAAGGGAGATGTTTTGTGATGATTGTAAGAAGCCCAAGCATACTAGGGATACTTGTTGGGAGTTGCATCCCCATCTTGTTCCAGCTAAATTCAGAAATAAGAAAGGAAGTGCTAATATGGCAGTCAACACTGGCAATGCATCATCTTCCAATACAAGAACCACATCTCTAGATGCCTTAGCTGCTGTCTGGGCTGCCTTGACACAATTAGAGAATGAAGCTGGTATTTCCGGGTCATCATCTCAGTCTTCTATTGTTACTCCTACCATTCCTACTTTAGCTTTTGCTTCCTCAGGTACAAGAGCTATAGCATATCACACTTCAGCCCCAGGTAACACTAGACCCTTCTGGGTAATAGATTCAGGTACTTCTGACCATATGACTAGTTTATCCACCTTGTTTACCACCTACTGTTTATCCTCAGGCAAAGACAAAGTGTCTATTGCTGATGGCTCGCTTGTTCCTATTTCTAGCAAGGGAGACATCAGATTGTTAGATGCCATCTCCTTGTCCTCAGTTTTGCATGTCCCTAAGCTTAGTGCTAACTTGCTTTCAGTTAGTAGTATTACTAAGAATCAAAACTGTTCAGTGACTTTTTTTCCCGATCGTTGTGTTTTTCAGGATCTGGAAACGAGGAAGGTGATTGGGAGTGGCCGTGAGACGAATGGAGTCTACTTGCTTGAGCATCCACAAGGGAAGGAAAGTGAAGTTGGGAGGTTGTTTGTTTCTCAGATTATGCTTTGGCATAATAGATTAGGTCATTTGTCTTTTGGGTCTTTGAAGAGTCTGTTTCCAAGTTTGTTTGAGTCAATGTAAGTGTCTAGTTTGAGGTGTGAAAGCTGCGAACTTGCAAAACATTGTAGGTCAACTTATTCTTTGAGCAATAAAAGAAGCAATGTTCCCTTTGAAATTGTGCATACTGATGTTGGGGGGCCATATCATACTCCTGCCATGGGGGGGGGGTACAAATACTTCTTGTTATTTGTTGATGATTATACCCGTTTCTCGTGGATTTACCTTATGCACTCTCGAGATGAGGTTCCTTCCCTGACCCAAGCTTTCCATCAGATGGTATTGACCCAATTTGAAATCAAAATCAAAATTCTCAGATCCGATAATGCCAAGGAGTATTTTGCAAAACCCCTGGCATCATATATTCTAGACCATGGAGTTATTCATCAGAGTACTTGTCCTCGTACACCTCAGCAAAATGGGGTTGTTGAGAGAAAAAACAAACATATTTTGGAAGTAGCCAGAAGCATTATGCTCAACTCTAATGTTCCCATACGCTTTTGGGGGGATGCAATCCGTACTGCTGTTTACCTTATGAATCGAATTCTCTCACGGGTTTTGGACATGAAAACACCATTCAATCTTCTATATCCAAACAAGGACTTGTTCACTATTCCCCTTAAAACCTTTGGGTGTACTTACTTTGTTTAAATCTTGGGACTTCATCGCTCCAAATTTGATCCCAAAGCTACTAAATGTATTTTCCTTGGGTATGCACAAAATCAAAAGGGGTATTGCTGTTATGATCTTGTTTCAGGAAGGTGTTTGTGTCCATGGATGTCACCTTTTTTGAGGATATGCCCTACTATCATAGGGCCTCTCCTCAGGGGGAGAGTCGTGAGGAAGGGATTTCAGCCCCGGAAGTTCCATTACCTATCCCAGTTGTTGAGGGGGAGTGCCGTGAAGAGGGTTGTCAAAAGTGCAAGGAGTTGAGAGTGTATCACAGACAGTGGTGGAGGCAGGTTGATTCTCATTCACAACAGTCCAGGCCGATCCCAACACCTCCTACAAC